GGCTTCTTGCAGATGAAGGAGGACACAGGCAGGAAAGGAGGGGGGGAGATAGAGCGGCTGCTTGTTAGCCAGCTGCTCCCTGGAGAGGGAGGGTGGGGAGCGAGCAAGCAAGCAAGCAAAGAAGCAAAGCCATGCATCGGGGCGCTTCCCAGGCAGGCTGTCCTATGGTGGCTTCCCCACAGGGAAGGGGCGCTGCTCTCCTGGAAGGGGCGCTGGGGAAAGGGTTAGCATGAAGGCCACACAACCACCAGCAAGCGCAACACCCCCCCCCATGTGGGGGGGCAGAGATCTGTGTCCGCGGTCCAGTTCCAGCTAACCAACGGACCGGCACCGGGCAATGGACCAGGGGTTGATGATCCCTGGCCTAGCAGTCTTAACTGGATTGTAAATGCTCCAATTTCGTCATGATCAGGCTTTTTTTCTCTCCAAAATTTTATTTTATTTTTTATTTATTTATAACTATAACAAAAACAAATCATATACATAAAACATATACACTTACAACACAATAACAGTGTTCCCCACCACCATATACGGGACCTCTTGCCATATTCTTCTTTTTCTTCTTCTTCTCATTCTTCTTCTTCTATTGTCCTCCTCTCCAGAACTGCATAGATTCTTGATTTGGAGCTCTCCCTTTTCCCCTTATTAACACATATTCCAAAAATTTGCCCCATATTACATAAAAATTGTTCTTTTTCAACTCTCCTTTCTTCATCTTTAAATTACAAGTTAATTTATCATTTAATGCTACATTCCATATTTCTTTATACCATTCTTCAATTTGTAATTCAGTCTTTAATTTCCACTGTCTAGCAATAATCAATCTAGCTGCTGTTATTAGATTAGTTATCAATTCTTTAATCATTTTGTCATATTCCACGTTCTCATATATTGATAACAAAGCAATCTCAGCCTTACATTCTATATCTTTTCCACAGATACAACTTAATTCTTTGAAAATTTGTTTCCAAAAACTTTGTACCTTTTCACATTCCCACCACATATGAAAGTATGTACCAACTTCTTTCTCACATTTCCAACAGACATTCGGATGACTGGTGTTAATTTTGTTTAATTTTACCGGTGTTAAATACCATCTTAAACTAAGTTTAAATTTTTTTTTCTTTATTCTTACTGACATAAGATTTATCTCTCCAAAATTTTAATAATAATAGCAAATAATAGCTTGGTTTGGATGTCATAGTTTGTCAGTGATTTGTGGGAACCCTCTCACTTTGACAAACAGCAGGCTGAAGTTGATACATGTTTCCTTTTTGTTCCTATTGCAGCATATGTGGCTAAAGAAACCATAGACTTTTTGTTCTTTATTCTTACTGACATAAGATTTATCTCTCCAAAATTTTAATAATAATAGCAAATAATAGCTTGGTTTGGATGTCATAGTTTGTCAGTGATTTGTGGGAACCCTCTCACTTTGACAAACAGCAGGCTGAAGTTGATACATGTTTCCTTTTTGTTCCTATTGCAGCATATGTGGCTAAAGAAACCATAGACTTTTTGTGTCTTTTGTTCTTTTTTGTTGTTGTTGTGATGTGTAAACATAAAATAGGCCCAGCTCTGAAAACCAGAGTAAAAAACTATAGGTTTTTAAATCTCATCATTTTCCTTATATTTGAAGGACTCTAAAGTGCAATGCCTTCTGTAAGCAAATGAGCTGTACCTCTGATTTCTGTTGAGGCTTTTGCCTTTAGTACTATTGGATCAACTTTAGTGCAGTGCATAATCATTTGGCTACTTAAAATAAGTTAAAATAATTTTTGTGCTCTCATTTAATCTTTATTCCAATTATTTACTCTTAGGTATACTACATTATCATATAGAGCTCCTGAAATGATCAACCTTTATGGAGGGAAACCAATTACAACCAAGGCAGATATCTGGGTAAGAAAGTTGAATAACTTTTCTCTGGTTAATAAGAAGCAGGCTAGTTAAAGATATATTGGAGAAATGCAAATGTGGAAATGGATCTAGATTTAGTCATACCGAGTTCAGTTTGTATATTTTAAGCATGGTAGTCTGGAATCCCCTCCATGGCATTTATGAAGACTTTATCCAAAATTCTGTTCATTTTTATTTCATGCACAGTGTTCCATCGCATGTGCCATTGTCCTTTCCTGGTGTTTCAACAAGGAGGTGTTCACTATCCCATTGTGTGAGTGTGATATCTGTTGCTTTCATTCAGGTTATCACCAGCTCATACAACTGGAGGCTACTCTGTATATTAAGTAGAGCAATTCATCTTTGGGGTGTTACGCTCTACATTTCCCTAGAGGATGCTGGCCATAATAAATAAAAATTAAATGGCTTGCCTTCATTCTTCTTCTTCGTGGCCTCTGTGAATACACACAAGTGGGTTTTACTGCACCTGCGCAGGACGTTTCGGAAGTGCAAAATTAATAATATAACTTTGTAAAAAACCATAATGCTGACTTATTCATTCACTGCTTTCTTTGTTCTGGTAACTAAATTTGAAAAAAGGCACACTGAGGTACAATCCAATGTTTTTGTAGCAGGCCTGAGATAAAGGTACCTTATTAATAATTCTAATACATAATTTTGTAATGGGAAAAGTCAGAACTTCCGTATGCCAAAAAATGGCAAAAAGAAAGAAAAGAAAATAATTCTCAAGGAAGAATTTTGGAATGACTGAGCAGTACTATCCAATTTGATAGGATTCCTTTTGATAAAATTTCACAAACAATACAATTGATACTTGAAGTAAAGAACTTGTGCTAAATGAGTCTATTAGATTAACATACAAACCCCAACAAAAACCTGCCATCTTCTAAATGTTTAAGCAGTTTTGCTATTGCTTACATTTGTTTAGTGGGCTTGAGAACACTTTTAATTAATTTATATCCCAAAGAATAAATCAAATGTTATTTTTTTAGACTGCTGCATTTTTGTAGTTAAATTTGTGTGCAAATACCTCATATACAATATTGATGTCGATATATTTCTCATTGATAGTGTGTTTCACCCCATAGGCTCTTGGCTGCCTGCTGTATAAGCTTTGTTTCTTCACACTTCCCTTTGGTGAGAGTCAAGTTGCCATTTGTGATGGCAGCTTTACCATCCCAGACAACTCACGTTACTCCCATGGTGTACATTGTTTGATAAGTAAGTAACTGAAGCAAAATGCAAACTGAAGTTTCTATGCAATGATTAGATCAGGGATAGAAGACGTTTGATGCTGCTGATGTTTACCACCACAGTCCCCGCTATTCCAATAGTGTACACAGTTATCATTGGCCATCTCAACTTTGGCTTCAGAGAAGTGAAATTTAAAATGTCTGATCGGCCAAATGTAACTTCAAGCTTGGGTTACATTTTAAATTCAGTTCTTATGGTAGGAGAAGTGGCAGAGAATAATGTTAGAGGATTACATGTTGACAGTTTTATTGTTTTTTTTTAATTTAAAAACATCCTGACTTCAGGATGTTACCTTATGTGTGGTCATTAGGTACCTGAAGTGATACACTGACTGATGCCACTCAATTCTGTTTCTCCATTGCATTTGAATCAAGAGAGGCTGTGCATGATTTAGTTTTGTGCCTGTGTGCAGTGTGGGCTGGATGAGCATCAGAAAGTTGAAGCTGTGTCCTAGAAAGATAGAGGCACTGTGTGGCAGGGACAGATATTTGCATTTTACTTTGTGGAATGGTCTCCTCTCAACAGTGTAATAGACGTCACCTCTTGCATGTACTATGCAGTTTCTGCAAAGAAATCTTTTCACCCCTTCCATGAACTGGCAGGCAGCTTAGGTCAGAAGGCATATCAGAATCATGAGTTGGAATTTTCCAGATTTTCAGTGACATTTGCAACAGATGGGGCTCATTGAGCATAGACATTTTTGCCATTCCTAACAAGAAATGACGGAAGTACTCTTCCTGAGCAGGTTGAGAGAAAAGTTTTCTAGGAGGTGACCTTCATGGCTTGTTGTTCAAAGAAACTTCTATACCTTTTGTTTTTAAATGAACTGTTGGATAACTCAGTGGTTTCGTTATCTGGCCGCAGAGAAAAAGGTTGCGAGTTTGATTCCCCACTGTGTCTCCCTGATAGAGTCTGCACTCAATGATCCATAGGGTCTCAATTATTATATAGAGTTGATAAAGAGACCTCATTCTCTTCATGGTTGGTTTTTCAGGTTTATACCTGAGGGCAGGGGAACCTACTGCCTCTTCCCCTCTGTCCCCTCTCATCCCCTTCCCGCAACTCCTGTCACCTTCCTACCTGGTCTTGTCTCTTCCTCCTCCACTGCCACCATCTTTACAGACAGTTCCCTTCCAAGAGGCGGGCCAGCTGTCTGTGCGCATGTGCACATCTATCAGCTGATAAGTGTGTGCATACTCAGAGATAGCCAGACCAGCTCCTGGGAGGGAAGCTGGGCTGCTGCCTCTGAAGGTGGTGGTGGCGGAGGAGGAAGAGGAGAAGATGGTGGGACCAGGTTAGGGAGGTGATGGGGGCAGCAGGAAGGGGGTGGGCAGGTGGGCATCTGTTTCTCTGAAGCACAATGAAGCCCCAAGCAGAAAAAAAGTTCAGCATTTTGTTTCTGCAAAACAGGTTGCTCAAACCAACCCCCCCTTTTTTCCTGTTCATAGTTTGGTTCATGCTCATCTCTAGAAATGACCCATTACTTGTTAAATGCTGAATGTCAAGATGTTCAGTGAACAAAAGATTGTTTGGAGTGGAATAGATCTGGGTAGGGAAGAAATGTTAAGAGCAAAGTGTGAGGATGGAGAAGCTGGGGTAGAAATGAAAGTGGAACTTTCTTGAGCAGAATACTCCAGAAGTTTTGAGATTGTGAATGTAGCATGAGATTTATTACATTATTATGTCCCTTGATGAGAAAACCTGTAATGACCTTAGAACATAAAAGAGGCCTAGTTTGGGAATATTTTAATGAAATTCCCTTATCTGTAGATATTGCAGGTAGGCATGCAAAATGCAAACAGTGCAAACCAATCATTAATTTTCTGATGTAACTGTAAAAGTCAGCTGAAAAGTTATTGTTCCAAAAATAAAGCCTTCATGTGGATTGTAATACTAAAGTTGTAACAACTAGCGGTAATTAGCCTTTATGTTGAAAGCCATGGTTTAATTTGAGTGTTATTAACTAGTGATTAAATTTGGGATTTAAATCAGTTTAATTTAAATCAATTCACCCTGCAAGGAGTTGTGGATCTGTTTGTAGCATACCCTTTCTCTCAGTGTAGAGAAAGCCTTGCATTCCTACTGAGAAAAATGTGGAAATTTAAGAAATAAAGGCCATAATCCTATTAGTTCTTTTATGCCAGCATAGGTAAAATAGTGATTACTGATGATTAATGAGTTGTTTATATTCCTAGTTGCATGCCAAGTCATGCAACTGGAACATGATGAGGAACACGAGCAATAATTCAATTAACCATTGACAATTTGCTGCTGCAATTTATACTATTACACTTATGTTGGCACAAATAACCAATAGGATGCTAGTCAAACTCATAAAAAGGTCAAATTAAAAAAGGAAAAAACCTGCTGCCCCAGTGAAAGGCAGCAGGGCATAAGAAAAAGGGGCTCTTCTGTCTGTGTTTTGCCTCTTTTGCTGTTCATAGTATTGCTTTGTTGGTCATGTATAATTTATTGCCAGTGGGTTTTAATGGCTAATCACTTTGAAAAGTATAATACAGATGATTACGTAAACTCAGTACAATGATTATTGATATTTAGGAGAAGGATGTCTATGATAGTGTCATTTTTTTTCTTCAGCCAATGTTTGAATTTATAAGTGGGTTTGACCATGTTTATGAGTAATATGGTGAGAAAGGTCAGATTACTCAAAAACATGTATAAACATGCTTGGGGGTTCAAGTATAGGTTGGAGAAAAAGTGTGAAATGTCATAGAAATCCTCCACCTACATAAGTATTTTATTTTGTAAAATGAGTAGATATATTCAGTAAATCAAGGAAGATTGCTAAAATGTGCTATTTCATGATTAAAAATGGAAGCAAGATTTAAGACAAAATTAAATTAACAGTACCATCAACAGTTCTGCTAAAGTTGCTTGCAGATGTTTGGAATGTAAGAATTTGCAGCTATTTTGGTTATATAAAACTGTGTATTGCTCCAAAGACTTTTCTGGGAAGTGAGTAGTTGAAAGGATAAAAGCTGACTTTTCATTTCTATAAATATTACATGAAAATAACACTTTTAATGCAGTTTCTAAATCTTCAGTATGATAAAGACATATAAAATTTATAATCTGCAGGGTACATGCTTGAACCAGATCAAGATCAACGACCTGATATTTTTCAAGTATCCTATTTTGCCTTTAAACTTGCCAAAAAGGACTGTCCACTATCCAACATTAATGTAAGTATATCTGTTTTTGCTTATTGAATATGTAGGAAGTCTGTTTCAGGGTAGTCAATTAATTCATGACTTACAGCAAAAACAGATTATTCTCTTAGTGGTTCCTTTCTCTCTGTCTCCTCCGGTCTTCACATCTGCAACTTTATGAGAAACAGTCTGGTCTGCTCTTCTGTGGCTCCACAGCATAGGATGCCTTGTTACCACCTGTATTTTCGAGCTCCTTGCATTTCATTTGTTTTTCTTGGACTAGGGTAAGGCTGAACCTTATTGAGGTACACTAGTATCACAGCAAACTATGGCAAGTCCTTAAAAAAATGGGAGTGCCTGACCACCTTATCTATCTGCTGAGAAGCCTATATGTGGGACAGGAAGCAACAGAACTGGATATGGAACAACTGATTGGTTCAAAATTGGGAAAGGAGTATGACAAGGCTGTATATTGTCCCCCGGCTTATTTAACTTATATGCAGAATACATCATGCGGAAAGCTGGACTGGAGGAATCCCAAGCCGGAATTAAGATTGCCGGAAGAAATATCAACAACCTCCGATATGCAGATGATACCACTCTGATGGCAGAAAGTGAGGAGGAACTAAAGAACCGTGTAATGAGGGTGAAAGAGGAGAGTGCAAAAACGGTCTGAAACTCAACATCAAAAAAACCTAAGATCATGGCCACTGGTCCCATCACCTCCTGGGAAATAGAAGGGGAAGATATGGAGGCAGTGACAGATTTTACTTTCTTGGGCTCCATGATCACTGCAGATGGTGACAGCAGCCACAAAATTAAAAGACGCCTGCTTCTTGGGAGGAAAGCGATGACAAACCTAGACAGCATCTTAAAAAGCAGAGACATCACCTTGCCAACAAAGGTCCGTATAGTCAAAGCTATGGTATTTCCAGTGGCCATGTATGGAAGTGAGAGCTGGACCATAAAGAAGGCTGACCGCCAAAGAATTGATGCTTTTGAACTGTGGTGCTGGAGGAGACTCTTGAGAATCCCCTGGACTGCAAGGAGAACAAACCTATCCATTCTAAAGGAAATCAACCCTGAGTGCTCATTGGAAGGACAGATCCTGAAGCTGAGGCTCCTATACTTTGGCCATCTCATGAGAAGAGAAATCTCCCTGGAAAAGACCTTGATGTTAGGAAAGTGTGAAGGCAAGATAAGAAGGGGATGACAGAGGACAAGATGGTTGGACAGTGTCACCAAAGCTACCAACATGAATTTGAACACACTCCAGGAGGCAATGGAAGACAGGAGGGCCTGGCGTGCTCTGGTCCATGGGGTCACGAAGAGTCGGACATGACTAAACAACGACGAATATCACAGTTTGGGTGCAAACTCTGCATCCTTGTCCTCATTCCAGTGATATTCATTTGTTTGCCCACTTAACTTCCTATGAAGCTCTTGATCTGAGGCAAAATGGTCATTGATTGAATGTATGTAGGTCCCATTCATTGAAATGATTTACATCCAGAGCCATTTCTGTATTTTCATTTGCATACCCATACATGTATTTTGTTTTTACCTGTATAAAACAAAAATGCAGGCTCCCCTTTGGTTAAAGTACTATGATGTTAAAAAACAAAATAAAACTTAGCAGATATTACTGGTTTGGGGAATGTAACATCCTTCTACCCATTTGAAATTTAATTTTTCTCAATGGTAAAGGAGTATTGTTTTTCAGTGTTGGTATCAAAATGGAGAAACCCCTCAACCTGATAATAGCATATTTTCCATTGTGCAGTTCACTATGAAAAACAACAACATTAAGGCACTGAGTTCAGTAGTAATTCATATGACAAGTATTTACTGTTCATGCCATTTAGAAATACATTGAATAATGTATACTATTCGTTTTCCCAAGAACTCTCCTCTCCCTTCAACTCTTCCTGAGCCTTTGACAGCCAGTGAAGCTGCTGCTAAGAAAAGCCAAATAAAAGCAAGGTGAGTAGAATCTTATACATTTTATCCATTCGTTCTCTTATAGCATTGCACTGTAATATACTTCAGTACATTTTATGTGTATTTTCAGTGTGGAAATAAAGTTCAAAAGAGTCAGAATTTTTCCATGAAATGAATGCTAGTGGTGGTTCTGTTTAGCATGGTAGGTTTCAGCCACTAGAAACTCAGTCTCCCAAAACAGATGAGCAAACAAGAATAACTTGTATTTTCCTTTGAATAACAAAGGAAAATACAAGGCATAATATACCATATCCGCCTCATTTTTTCATACAGTAAAATAAACAAAACAACCACCATACAAATAGTGGTTTGAGGAGTGGAAAGGAAAGGAAAGGAAAAAGGGGTATGAAAAAGAGCAAAGGATAGGGACATGAAGGGGGGGGAGGAGAGTGGCAGATGTGAGCAAAGAATAGGAAAGAAAAAGAAAAAGAGATGAACAGAAGATGAGGCAACTAACATTTTGTTGGAAGGAACATTGATGATGTGTGCAGTGAAATACTTATTTCTTTCCTTTTTGTTTCTTTGGGGGTATGCACATACTTCTTTAATTTTCTTTTGCTTTCATATTTTTTGTTTATCGGTCTTTTCATTTTTACATAAAAAGGAGGGCTTCCTCTGGGGTTTCCATTTATCTTTTCCGTTCGTATTTTTTGGCATTTCAGAAGTTCCAAAGAACCCTTGAAAAGTAGACCAAAAAAGAAAAAAAATCTGATATGTGCGGGTGCTAGTTTACATTACCACATTCACAGAACCCAGTGGCACACTGACCGGCACAGCCACAAATCCCACACTCTGGCCCATGTTCCGCTCCCCCCCAGTGCAGAAGCAAACAAAAAACTGTATTTTTCCATGTATAAGATGATAGTTTTGTTTAAAATCTTTAGACTAAAAATTGAGGGTCATCTTATACATGGAAGCAAGCTGAGGAGAAAAAACAAGTGGAGGGGGGAAGGGATCAAAGTGATCCTGCCACTCTTTAATCGCTGCTTCCCCCTCCACATGCAAAGCCTCACAGAGCTTAGCATAAGGAGGGAGAAAGCAGGGATCAAAGGGCTCCAGGATCACTTTGACCGCTGCTTTCCCAGCCACTTTCCCAGCTGCTTTCCCAGCCACCGCTGCTTTCCCAGCCACTTCCTTAGCAAAAGAAGGGGGAAAGCAGCGGTCAAAGTGATCCTGCAGCCCTTTGAATCCCTGCTTTCTCTCTCCTTATGCTAAGCTCTATGAGGCTTAGGAAGTGGCAGGGAAAGCAGTGATCAAATTTTCTAATTTGGTGTTAGAAAAGTGTTGTCTTATACATCAGAGCGTCTTATAAATGGGAAAATACAGTTGTCCTCAAAAGTCCCACCAGAATATACACCTTTAACAAAATAAATGCACAGTAAATTAACCAGATAATAATTAGTAAAAAAGAGAAAGAAACAGGGAAAGCACCCACCACATGGAAAAAATAGTAATAAAAAGAACGACATGCACAGACTGCCTTTCCAGAAACAAAGAAAAGGCAAAAATTACAGTCAAAACCTGTGTAAACCAAAACTAAAACATGATGAGATTTCTCTTTCCTGTAACTCTTGATGCCTTTTCTCATCTTTGTTGAGTTAAAGTGAGAAACAAAATGAAAAATGAAAAAAAAAAGAGTGAGGGAAATTACAAAATAAATGGTGAGGGGGAGCAACAAAATAAATGGTGAGGGGGAACAAAAATAAAATCCAGAGGAGGCATGCATGCACGGGCAGGCTGTAACGAACAGCCCTGCCCTCACCTGTCCGTCAGAGCTGAACAGTGGAGAAGGAGCCAGTGACAGGATGGAAGGCGGAGCCAAGGGGGGGAGGGGGCTGGATATAAAGGCTGGTGTATGGAGTCTGAGAGAGATTCTGGTAGTGAGAGACAGTGTGAAACTTAAAAGTGAACTGAGAGTGAGTTAGAGGTCTGTAAGAATGCTGAATGGAACAGAGAGTTAATGGAGCTTTAAAGTTAAAGTTGAATTGATTCAAATACTAGTGATGAGCAGCCTGTGATTTACTTATTGAATATTAATCATATATTAACTTCCCTGATCTAATAAATGACTTAAGTTTTAAAATTACACATGTCTCCATGATTAAATGGTATTAAAGCAATAATACCTGGTGGCAGCGAAGAAAGAAGAAGAGTGAGAACCTCGTGAAGACCTGAGGGGATAGGGGCTTCAGAGGAGATCACCACACAGGCAACTGGCAGAAACAAAAATAATCCAAAGAAATTGAGAAAATGAAGGAAAAGATCTAAGATGCAGGCAGGCAGCAATCTAAGATAAAAGGCACTAGGAACTCAGCACACAGTAATCCCCACTTTTTGGAAGCAAAAAGAACATTCTTCAATGGGCTCCAGGCCCATTTAAGATTCAGAATTCCTACTTTCCTCCTGTACATTTTGATTGGCTGCCAACAGCACTTGCAATGCTGTTGGATGAAAAATTCCCCAAGCTAATTTAGCAACAAAGGGATACAGTACTGAAATATTGCACTAAATAGGGAACACAGAATAAAAATGAAACTTCTGTGTACTCTTTTGTAAACATAAGTTATTTGTGTTTTGGATTTGCTGAACAAATGTACACCGCACAAGAGAAAAAGTCCCCTTTGTGTTTTGGATCTTTTGTTTGGACCTGAAAGGCCCAACCCTAAGCATTCAGGGTGGTTTTGGAGCTTTGCTCTGCAGCTACCTATGGGATCCAGCAGTGTAGACTATGAGGTAAGAATTGTTTATTGTACAAGTGATGGGCTTTATTCTCAATTATGATAGTATAGTCAGCATTTTAATGGTGAACTGTAAATAAAAGATGTCATAGGACTGCTTTTCTCTCTCTTGTCTGCGGGCATTTTTCCAGGGAACAAGGACCTTCAAGGACCCCTCCCTCCCTCCTACAATGACCTACTTTCGTAAAAAGATAGATAGGAATTTTGTTTACACATAAGTGTGTTGTTGTTAAGTTAAGACATGTCCAACTCTTCATTACCCCATGGACCCTTCTCAGCAGATAGATAAGGTGGTCAGGCACTCCCATTTCTTTAAGGACTTGCCATAGTTTGCTGTGATACTAGTGTACCTCAATAAGGTTCAGCCTTATCCTATCTTCCACTGCCTCCCGGAGTGGTGTCAAATTCATGTTGGTTGCTTCAATGACATTGTCCAACCATATCATCCTCTGTCGTCCCCATCTCCTCTTGCCATCACACTTTCCCAACAACAGGGGCTTTTCCAAGCAGTCTTCTTTTCTCAAGAGATGGCTGAAGTCTTGGAGCCTCACCTTCCGGATCTGGCCTTCCAGTGAGCACTCAGGATTGATTTCCTTCAGAATGGATAGGTTTGTTCTCTTTGCAGTGCAGGGGACTCTCAAGAGCCTCCTCCAGCACCACAATTCAAAAGCATCAATTCGTTGGCAGTCATCCTTCTTTATGGTCCTGCTCTCACTTCCATACATCGCTACTGGAAATACCATAGCTTTAACTACACAGACTTTTTTCGGCAAGATCATGTCTCTGCTTTTTAAGATGCTGTCTAGGTTTGTCATCACTTTCCTCTCAAGAACCAGGCATCTTTTAATTTCATGGCTGCTGTCACCATCTGCAGTGTTCATGGAGCCCAAGAAAGTAAAATCTGTCACTGTCTCCATATCTTCCCCTTCTATTTCCCAGGAGGTGATGGGATCAGTGGCCATGATCTTAGGTTTTTTTTGATGTTGAGCTTCGGACTGTTTTTGCGCTCTCCTCTTTCACCCTCATTAAGAGGTTTTTTAATTCCTCCTCACTTTCTGCCATCAGAGTGGTATCATCTGCATATTGGAGGTTCTTGATATTTCTTCTGGCAATCTTAATTCTGGCTTGGGATTCCTCTAGTCCTGCCTTTTGCATGATGTATTCTGCATATAAG